GAAGAGCGTTCAGGAAGGGGTGGCAGCAAGACCAAAACCCTGCTGGGCTTTCTCTTAGGCCAATGCTGTTCCTGGGGGCTGAGGTCAGAGTGCATGGGGCTGGGCGGAGACCCCTGGACATAGTCCCCAGAGCAGACTGAGCCAGCAGCCGTGCCCCACAGGGGCAGGGCACCTCTGACCGGGGAGGGTGGACCACGACGACACCTCTGCCCTGTCTCCACCTGCAGCGCATCTGAGGAGGCTTTCGTGAAGGAATCCAAGGAGGAGACCCCTGGCACAGAGTGGGAGAAGGTGGCCCAGCTGTGTGACTTCAACCCCAAGAGCAGCAAGCAGTGCAAAGACGTGTCCCGCCTGCGCTCGGTGCTCATGTCCCTGAAGCAGACGCCGCTGTCCCGCTAGGTGCCTGCCTAGGATGGCCGCGAAGCAGGGCCAGGCCCAGGCAGAGGAGCGGCCGCTCTGGCCGGGTGGGAACATCCTCCGGCAGCTGCCAGGCACAGCCTATTCCGTTCCTCCCGTCCCCGAGGCTGGGAAGGGGGATCCGCACCGTCTTGCCCTCACAGCCCTGGCCCTGTGGTCCAGCCCCTCACGCCTCTCTCAGTCCACTAGGTTGTGACTGTCCCTCCGATGTATTTTTTTCTTGGCTTAAAGGGTGTGTTGTTAACTCTTTTTACACTTATTTATTATCATTCTCATTTCTCTGGAAGCCACACCTGGTGTCAGGGTTGCGTTTGTGCTCAGAACTGCCCCAGCGTATGGCCTTGAGAGAAGGGGAGAGGTTCCTCGGAAACCTAGGAGCTCCCAGGGGGTGGGGCACAGGCAGGTCTGCCGCCTCCTTCCCAGGGAACAGCCTCTCAAGGATGCTTCTGCAGCCTCATCCTTTCCCAGGCCTGCAGGGCAGGGACTCTGGCCTGGTCACAGAGCCGGCGCACCAGGTGCCCAGAGGGGAAGTGCTTGCAGCTGGGGAGAAGACGAGACCAGAGGGTGCCTCTGGTGCCTTCCTCTAGGCCCAGGTGAGGCACTGGTCGGGTAGCCACTGCCAGAGCCCCTTCCTCAGGTTCGGCCAGGACCCCAGGTGTGGAGGGCCCCCTGCTCTACACTGTCTGCCCCTCCTTTGGCTTTGGGATAAGCAGTGACCAGTCCTTGCCCTTCAGCCAAGGCTGCAGACCAGCCTGTTCGCCATCACGACCTGCAGTGTTCAGACAGCACTGCGTGAATGCCAGCAGCTTTGGTGTCCGAGGGCTGCCAGGACAACCACCACGGACCGGCTGGCTTCAACAGACCTATCGTCTCACTGTTCCAGGGGCCGATGTCCAGAATCGGAGTGTTGGCAGGGCCGTGTTCCCTCTGAAGGAGCTGGGAAAGGATCTATCCTGGGTCTGGCTCCCTGCTTTGGCAGTCCTGGGCATTTCTGGGTTTGCAGACACATAGTTCTAGCCCTACCTCTGTCATCATATGACTGTCTTCACACTGTCTGCCCTCTGTGTTGGGGCCGAATCTTCCCATTTTATAAGGACATGAGTCATACCAGATTAGGGCCTCACTAAAGACCTCATTTCACCCCTATAAAGTCTCTATTTCCACAAATGGTCACATTCTAAGGAATTCAGGTTAGGACTTCAACATATCTTTTTGGGGGTTTTCATAATACCAACACAAACACTGGCCATCCTCTTTAAAGGGCCACAGTTGGGGCCAGTAGGTGGCATGGTGGTTATAGCACTGGACTCTTACCACTCTTACCATGGTTCAAGTCCTGGACCAGGGACCAGCAATTAGCATAATGGCTATGTCGCTGGACTCCCATGTAGCCGATCGCAGTTCAAGTCGCAGACCCGGTGGCTTAAACTCATGCCAGGCGCTTGTGCGTGCGTGCCCAAGATCCCGAGAGGAGAATGGAGGATAAGGGATTGCGGCGTAGCCATTCCCCCGGGGGGTGATTTCTTGCTTTCTATCTCTCTGTCTCTGTCTTTCTGGCTAGCGCACACACCCTATAGCAAAAACCTCCCCCCTCCAAAAAAAAAAAATCAAGTCCTGGACCCAGTAGCTTGAAAATCATGCCAGGTGCCTATGCACGTGTGCGCAAAATCCCAAAAGGAGAATGGAGAAAAGATTGTGGTGGGGCCACCTACTCCCTTACTAGGGGATGATTTGTCACTTTCCTTCTCTCTTGCAAGTGCACAGGCCCTATGGCAAACATCTTAAAAAAAACCAAAAAAAAACAAAAAACCCTCAATATCCTTTCCTGGCATGTTGAAGCCAAGGGTCACTACAATGCTCTGGTCTCCATTAACCCCTGCCTTACAGCTAAGACCAGGGTGGAGGCGGGAAACTTGGCCGGCCCTTGTCATACACCCTCCCACTCAGACGTGCAGGTACAGTGGACGCCAAGACTCAGGAGGCTCATTAAGGGGTGTGTCTGTGTCACTCCAGCTTGAAGCTCGTGTTGAATCAATATTTGAAGAGAGCTGCCCACAGACCTGAATGCCCGTTGAGGCCTTCACATGCACAAGGATCTCCAGGCCACCTCTCTTCCAGTGTACAAGTCGCTTTGGAGCTATTCTGCTCTTCTGCGCCAGGCTTCTCTGAGCGTCGGTTTCCTGTTCAGTCACACGTGTTAGGAGCTGGGAAAGTGAGGACTAGGGACTGGAGCAAGGACTAGATGCACAGTGGAAGGAGACCCCCTGCCTGGCAGGACCATGGTGGGCCTTATCTGGGAAAGGTTTTCCTATTGAAAGTTGAAAACTGTTGGCCAGAAGAGGTTTTTTTCTTTTTAAAAGTATTTCCACTTGGCCCACTGAACTAGATTCTCACAGAGGCAGCTGAACATCTCCACTTTTAATAAGTGCCCCAGGTGACTGTAACCAGGGAAGTTTCAAGATCACTAGCCTCTATGATTTTTTAAAAAAATTCACGGAGTATGTGTGTTTGCACGAGACGGAGGGAGGGAGAAAGTGAGAGAACGTCCCTTCACAGAGCTGTGTTGCCGCCGTCTCTCATCCGTGTGCCAGGATCCTGGGCACTAACAGAATGTTTCCAAGCCCATCAGGCCAGAACTCCAACCATGGTGGGCATGTGGCTTCCAGCTGTACAATCCAGTCTGCTAGCACTGCAGAGAAGCTGGGCCCAGACAACTGCTTTCCTAAGCTACTCCTCTGCTTCCAATCAGACATCAAAAGCAGGTAGCACCGCGGGAGGTGGAATTCACCAAACTACACATAGAGGAGAGTTTAATGAGTAGGGAGTGGAGGAGATAGGAGGCATGCATCGACCAAACTGAACTGAATCTGGGTTTTCTGCAAGGATCCGTGGGTTACACAGTAGATCACTTCCTCCCCTGACCACACAGGGGCCTGTCAGGGAGAGGAGAGAGTAAGTCCAGTGGTCGCTCCTGAGTCTCTGGCTGATCTCCGCGGAGCTGTCAAAGTCTGGCCCAGGGCTCAGGCTCGGGACTTCATGGCAGAGGCCG